AACAACAAAGTCAAAAGAAAGTTAAACTGGCCTGACCACCTGATGCTGATCTAGTCATCAGTAATTGAGAGGTGGTATGAAGGTTTCTGATATTATTGTTATTTGAAGTCCAAACTGAACCCATAGCTTTAAGTTTGACTGTATTTCTAGATAGTGTGGGTTAAGAAGGGCAGGTCTTTGTTTGATTTTTGAGTTCTGTGGCAGGTATCAGAGTGTCTGGAAAAGTGTTATAGATTTATAGAGACATAGAGCTGTACAGCATGGAAACTGACCCTTCGGTCCAACTCATCCATGCAGACCCGATACCCTAAATTAATCTAGTCCTAGTTACAGCATTTGACCCATATCTCTTCAAACTCTTCCTACTCATATACCCAACCAGATGCCTTTTAAATGTTGTAATTGTGCCAGCCTCCACCACTTCCTCTGGTAGCTCATTCCATACATGCAACACCCTCTGCAGGAAAAAGTTACCCCTCAGGTCTCTTCTAAATCTTACCCATACAATCCCTACAGTGTGGAAACAGGCCCTTCAGCCCAACAAGTCCACACCAACCCTTGGAGCATCCCACCCAGACCCATCCCCTTATAACCCATCTGAGCTATACATCCCTGAACACTACAGGCAATTTAGCATGGCCAATCCACCTAGCCTGCACATTTTGGACTGTGGGAGGAAACCAGAGCACCCGGAGGAAACACATACAGACACGTGGAGAATGTGCAAACTCCACACAGACAGTCGCCTGAGGGTGGAATCAAACCCGTGTCCCTGCTGCTGTGAGGCAGCAGTGTTAACCACTGAGTCACTGTGCTGTCCCCTTAAACCTTTCACCTTAAACCTATGCCCCTCTAGTTTTGGACTCTGCTGGAGGAAAAGACCTTGGCTATTCACCCTATCCATGTCCCTCATGGTTTAGCAGAATACAGGGTTAATGGAAAGATTCTTGGCAGTGGGGAGGAGCAGAGGGATCTTGGGGTTCATGTCCACAGTTCCCTGAAAGCTGCCACCCAGGTGGGTAGAGTTGTTAAGAAGGCGTATGGTGTGTTAGCTTTCATTAATAGAGGGATTGAGTTCAAGAGCCGTGAAGTTATGCTCCAGCTATACAAAAGCCTGGTTCGGCCACATCTGGAGTATTGTGTCCAGTTCTGGTCGCCTCATTACAGGACAGATGTGGAAGCGTTGGAAAAGGTGCAGAGGAGATTTACCAGGATGTTGCCTGGAATGGAGGGAAGGTCTTACGAGGAAAGATTGAGAGAGCTCGGGCTTTTCACTTTAGAACGACAAAGGATGAGAGGTGACTTGATAGAGGTGTACAAAATGATCAGAGGTATAGATAGTGTGGACAGCCAGAGACTTTTTCCTAGGGTGAAAGTAGCTATTATGAGGGGGCATAGTTTTAAAGTGAGTGGAGGCAGATATAGGGGAGAAGTCAGAGGTAGGTTCTTTACTCAGAGAGTGGTCGGGGCGTGGAATGCATTGCCGGAGAGGGTAGTGGAGTCGGCCTCATTAGGGGCATTTAAGCAGCTATTGGATAGGCATATGGATGATAGTATAAGGTAGGGGTGGAGGTTACATAGACCTTAGGATTAACAAAGAACAAAGAAAAACAAAGAAAATTACAGCACAGGAACAGGCCCTTTGGCCCTCCAACCCTGCGCCGATCCAGATCCTCTTTCTAAACCTGTCACCTATTTTCCAAGGATCTGTATCCCTCTGCTCCCTGCCCATTCATGTATCTGTCTAGATACATCTTAAATGATGCTATCGTGCCCGCCTCTACCACCTCTGCTGGCAATGCGTTCCAGACACCCACCACCCTCTGCGTAAAGAACTTTCCATGCATATCTCCCTTAAACTTTTCCCCTCTCACGTTGAAATTGTGACCCCTAGTAATTGAGTCCCCCACTCTGGGAAAAGGCTTCTTGCTATCCACCCTGTCTATATCTCCCATGATTTTGTAGGCCTCAATCAGGTCCTCCCTCAACCTCCATCTTTCTAAAGTAAATAATCCTAATCTACACAACCTCTCTTCATAGCTAGCGCCCTCCATACCAGGCAACATCCTGGTGAACATCCTCTGCACCCTCTCCAAAGCATCCACATCCTTTTGGTAATGTGGCGACCAGAACTGTACGCAGTATTCCAAATGTGGTCGAACCAAAGTCCTATACAACTGTAACATGACCTGCCAACTCTTGTACTCAATACCCCGTCCGATGAATGAAAGTATGCCGTATGCCTTCTTGACCACTCTATCCACCTGCGTTGCCACCTTCAGGGTACAATGGACCTGAACACCCAGATCTCTCTGTGCATCAATTTTCCCCAGGGCTTTTCAATTTATTATATAGTTCGCTCTTGAATTGGATCTTCCAAAATGCATCACCTCGCATGTGCCTAGATTGAACTCCATCTGCCATTTCTCCACCCAACTCTCCAATCTATCTATATTCTGCTGCATTCTCCGACAGTCCCCTTCACTATCTGCTACTCCACCAATCTTAGTGTCATCTGCATTACGGTAAAAGTTTAGCGCAACATCGTGGGCTGAAGGGCCTGTACTGTACTGTACAGTTCTATGTTCTATGTTCTATGTTCTAAAATCAGTGCATTGAGTATAGGAGTTGGGAGGGTCATTTTGAGGCTGTACAGGACATTGGTTAGGCCACATTTTGGAATACTGAGTGCAAATCTGGTTTCCCTGCTATAGGAAGGATGTTGTGAAACTTGAAAGGGTTCAGAAAAGATTTACAAGGATGTTTCCAGAATTGGAGGGTTTGAGCTATAGGGAGAGGCTGGATAGGCTGGATCTATTTTCCCTGGAGCATCAGAGGCAGAGGGGTGACCTTATTGAAGTTTATAATCATGACAGACGTGACTCAGGGTTGGACAGGACTGGCACCTTATTGTTCCAGGGTGTAGATGCTATAGGAAGGATAGGAAGGAGGGGGCAACAGAGGAGGGGGGAGTGGCGTTTTTGATTAGGCATAACATTATTTGGAGCAACAATATCTATGTGAGAGCGAGGAGCTTTATTGAAATGGGAACAAACCAGGAGGTCCGGCTCATTCTCACAGAGTGGAGACGTTTCACAAAGCAATCATCTAATTTGTGTTTAAGCTCCTCAGGGTAGAGGATTTTCACTGAATACAGGAGACCAGACTGTGTGAAGTACAAGTGAAATGCTGCTTCATCTGGAAGGTGTGTTTGGGCCTCGGATAGTGAGGAGGGAGGAGTTGAATGGGTAATGGCTTCAAATTTCACAATTGCATGGGAACGTGATGTGGTAAAGTGAGGAAGCATAAGGAATGATGGAGGAATGGCCAAGGGTGTCCTGTAGAATGCTGACAGTGGAGGGGAGGGGAAAGTGCAGGCGATATCTTGCTGGAGGTAGTGGAAATGGTGGCGCCTGGTGAGTTGGAAGGGAGGCAGTGCACAAGAGGAGAGGCTGATGCAGCTGCCAAGAGCCATTAACCGATTCAAATGACCCGCACACCAGAGCATTTTCAAACTACAATAAAGACCATCTGATATCCTGCCAGAGGCATGGGCATGAAGCAATTGACAAACCAGAATCTGACAATGAGACAAACAGTGATAAACACAGGTTCAACACTTCAATTTCATGGGAAACATTAATGTCATCACACTGTCAGAAGTATAGAAAAGTGTGAAGTGATTCATTTTGGAAGGTCAAATTTGAATGCAGAATACAGGGTTAAAGGCAGGACTCTTGGCAGTGTGGAGGAACAGAGGGATTTTGGGGCCCAGGTCCATAGATCCCTCAAAGTTGCCACCCAAGTTTATAGGGTTGTAAAGAAGGCATATGATGTGATGACTTTCATTGGCAGGGGAATTGAGTTTAAGAGCCGCAAGGTTATGCTGCAGCTCTATAAAACTCTGGTTAGACCACACTTGGAATATTGTGTTCAGTTCTGGTCGCCTCATTATAGGAAGGATGTGGAAGCTTTAGAGAGGGTGCAGAGGAGATTTACCAGGATGCTGCCTGGACTGGAGGGCATGTCTTATGAGGAAAGGTTGAGAGAGCTAGGGCTTTTTTCATTGGAGCAAAGAAGGATGAGAGGTAACTTGATAGAGGTGTACAATATGATGAGAGTGGATAGTCAGAGACTTTTTCCCAGGGCAGAAATGACTATTACGAGATGGCATAATTTTAAGGTGATTGGAGGAAGGTATAGGGGAGATGTCAGAGGTAGGTTCTTCACAAAGACAGTGGTGGGTGCGTGTGGAATGCGCTGCCAGCAGTGGTAGTGGAGTCAGATACTTTAGAGACATTTAAACGACTCTTGGACAGGCACATGGAGGATAGTAAAATGTAGGGTATGCAGGGTAGATTGATCTTAGTAGGATGATAGGTCGGCACAACATTGTGGGCTGAAGAGCCTGTACTGTGGTGTACTGTTCTATGTTCTATGTTCTGTTTGCAAAATTTTAGATCAACCATCTCTAGTTCAATGAACTTTCAAACTGAACTTCAAAAAAATTGATTACTACTTGTTGTTGGCTAGCATTGACACAGGGCCATGTGAATTCTAAAAAAAACCTGGCCACAAAAATAGGAAGCCACAAGGAAACATGTAAATGTAAGTGTTTCAGTGCTGAACAGTCACATAGTGCATGTGCAGGCTCATTAGCGCTGGACTTAAGGACAAAGCCAGGTGGAACAGAAAAAACTTCATAAAAATACAATCACAAATGAAGTAAAACTGAGCAGAGTGATGGAGCTGGAGGCCAACCGGTCTCCTGGTTCTCTCTGACATCATTGTAGTATCTTCAAAGAGGTCACTAATGAGTCAATGTTAATTTCTCAGAAACTGCTCCGATCAGGAAATCTTCCATCTGACTGCAAAGTAACAAATATGACCCCATTTTGAAGAAAGGAGAGAGGCAGAGAACAGGACACGAGAGGCCAGTTAACCTGATACAGTTTGTGGAGAAGCTGTTCGAATGATCATGAAGAGATGTTGTAACTGGGCACGTAGCAAAATCTCAAGGTAATCAGGAAGAGTCATCGAGGTTTTGTCAAAGAGAAATTATGTTTACCCAATTTATTGAAATTCTTTGAAGGAATAACATGCTGTGAAAAAAGAGGAGCAGATGTACTGTACTTAGATTTCCAGAAGATATTGGTTGGCTGGAAACTGAGACCAGGAATAAATGGGTCACTGTCTAAGGTCAAATTCCCCAGGGATCCTAGGGCTTCAACATTTTACAATTAACATCAATAATTTCGGTGAGGGGGGGAGGTGGGAGGTATTGTAACTAAATTACTGATGACAACAGGATCGTGAGGAACGTATGTTGTGAAGACAATAGAAGGAATTTGCAAACAGAAACAGAGAGGTTACGGGAGTAGGCAGATGGGATATAACATGGGAAAATGTGAATTTGTCCATGAAAAATAAAAAGGAGAGTGTGAATTAAACAGAGAATAACTGGACAGGTCCAAGGTGCAGAGGAATCGAGGTGTTCAAGTGCATGACTCACAAAGGATAATATACAGCTACAGCAAGTAATCACAGAGGCTAAGGTGATGATGTCCTTTATTTCAAGACAAAATGAACATAACAATAAAGATGTTATGATTCAGTTATACAGGCCATTACTGAGACCACATTCTAAATGCTGCGTGCAGTTTTGATCAACTTATTTAAGGGCTATGTAAATGTAGTGGAAGCAGTGCTTATGGGCTCTGGGTGTCATTGGCTGGGCCCAGCATTTATTGCCCGTCCCTAGTTGCCCCTTGAGAAGGTGGGGGTGAGCTCCCTTCTTGAACCGCTGCAGCCCATGTGCTGTGGGTTGACCCACAATGCCCTTAGGGAGGGAATCCCAGGATTTTGACCCAGTGCCAGTATATTTCCAAGTCAGGATGGTGAGTGACTTGGAGGGGAACTTGCAGGGGGTGGTGTTCCCATGTATCTGCTGCCCTTGTCCTTCTGGATGGAAGTGGTCGTAGGTTTGGAAGGTGCTGCCTGAGGATCTTTGGTGAATTTCTGCAGTGCATCTTGTAGATAGTACACACTGCTGTTACTGAGCGTCGGTGATGGAGGGAGTGGGATGTGTGTGGATGTGGTGCCAATCAAGCGGCTGCTTTGTCCTGGATGGTGTTGAGCTTCTTGAGTGTTGTTGGGGCTGTACCCATCCAGGCAAGTGGGGAGTATTCCATCACACTCCTGACTTGTGCCTTGTAGATGGTGGGACAGACTTTGAGGAGTCAGGAGGTAAGCTCTCGCTGCAGGATTCCCAGCTTCTGGCCTGCTCTTGTAGCCACTGTGTTTATGTGGTGAGACCAGTTGAGTTCTGGTCAATGATAACCCCCAGGGTGTTGATAGTGGGGGATTGAGCAAAGTGTGCAGACGACACTGAAAGTTTGCCAAGGGATATAGATCGGTTAAGTGAATGAGCAAGGTCTGGCAGATGGAGGGCAATGTTGATAAATGTGCAGTCATCCACATTGGTAGGAATAATAGGAAAAAAGGGACAATTACTTGAACAGTAAAAAATTGCAGCATGCTGCTGTGCAGAGGGACCTGGGTGTCCTTGTGCATGAATAACAGATGGTTGGTTTGCAGGTACAGCAGGTAATTAAGGCAGCAAATGGAATATTGTCCTCCATTGCTAGAGGGATGGAGTTTAAAAACAGGGAGGTTATGCTGCAGCTGTATAAGGAGATGGTGAGGCCACACCTGGGGTATTGTGTACAGTTTTGGTCTCCTTACTTGAGAAAGGATGTACTGGCACTGGAGGGGGTGCAGAGGAGGTTCACCAGGTTGATTCCAAAATTGAGAAGGTTACCTTATGAGAAGACATTGTCTAGACTGGGAGTGTACTCATTGGAATTTAGAAGAATGAGGGGGGAATCTTATAGAAACATATAACATTATGAAGGGAATAGATAAGATAGAAGCAGGGAGGTTGTTTCCACTGGCGAGTGAAACTAGAACTAGGGGCATAGCCTCAAAATAAGGGGGACCAGATTTAGAACTAAATTGAGGAGGAACTTCTTCACCCAAAGGGTTGTGAATCTGTGGAATTCCCTGCTCAGTGAAACAGTTGACACTACCTCATTCAATGTTTTTAAGGCAAAGATAGAGAGATTTTTGAACAGTAAAGGAATTAAGATTTCGGGGGGAGTTGGTGGGTAAGTGGAGCTGAGTCCACAGGAAGATCAGCCATGGTGTTATTGAATGGTGGAGCAGGCTCGAGGGGCCAAATGGCCTACTCCTGCTCCTGGTTCTTATGTTCTTATCTTTGTCTTAAATACACTCAATGAATTGGCCTCCATAGCCAATTCTCCACAGAGTCACCGCCCTCTTGCCTCTATTCTAAAGGGTTGTCCCTTCATTCTGAGGCTGTGCCCTTGGGTCTTAGTCTCTCCAACTAGTGGAAACATCTTCTCCACATCCACTCTATCCAGGCCTCTCAGTATTCTGTAAGTTTCAAAAGATTCCCTCTCATCCTTCCAAACTCCATTGAATATTGATCCAGAGTGCTCAACCGCTCCTCATATGACAAGACCCTCATCCCTGGGATCTTTCCTCTGGACCCCTCCAACACCAGCACATCCCTCCTTGGATACGGGGCCCAAAACTGCTCACAATATTCCAAATGCAGCCTGAGCACTGCATTATACAGGTCAGCAGTACATCTCTGTTCTTGTATTTTAGCCCTCTTAAAACGAATGCTAACACTGCATTTACCTTCCTAACTACCAACTGAACCTACATGTTAACCTTAAGGGAATCCTGAACCAGGATTCCCAAGTCCCCTTGTGCTTCAGATTCCTACAGCCTTTCCCCATAATCTATGCCAGTAATCTTTTTACCAAAGTGTATAACCTCACATTTTCTCACATTGTACTCCATCTGCCACTTCTTTGCCCACTCTCCCAGCCTGTCCAAATCCTTCTGCAGTCTCTCTGCTTCCTCAACACTACCCTGTCCCTCCACCTATCTTTGTGTCATCTGCAAACTTAGCAACAATTCCCTTTGTCCAAAGAATGGCTGAATCATGCAGGCTGAACTCGAGAGCAAAGCTCCAACAGAATGCTTTATTTGTGAATGAGGTTAATGTGAGCTATTGGTGACAGAAACTGTCACTTCCAACATTGCAACAAAATCACTTTCAGTTCCACATCAAAAGTCAATGAGTATTAAATTGAACTTCTCTTTTACTTAAACCAGAATCAGAGTTACGTATCTCGTTCACTCACAGACCAGAAAAACCCAGTTCTCAACCATGTTCCGATCACGGTGTTAAACTGAAACATTTCACTGGATTCCTTTGCCAGGTAAGACACTGCATTGTGCATGGTGGATGGAGGGGATAAATAGCATCTTTACACTGAACAAGGAGAGAATCAAGAGGCCAACGTAAACAACCAGATCCCTGTCCATCATGTCAACCCCCACAGGCAGCAAGCAGTTCAGGAATGTAGCATCTTACACAATCACCGGGACAAGGAACGCTGCACTGTCAGAGGGTCATTACCGAGGGAGCGCAGCACTGTCAGAGGGTCAGTACCGAGGGAGCGCCGCACTGTCAGAGGGTCAGTACCGAGGGAGCGCCGCACTTTCGGAGGGTCAGTGCTGAGGGACCTCCGCACTGTCGGAGGATCAGGCTGAGGGAGTGCTGCAATGTCGGATGGTCAGTACTGAGGGAGCGTCGCACTGTCAGAGGGTCAGTACAGAGGGAGTGCCGCACTGTCAGAGGGTCAGTACGGAGGGAGCGCTGCACTGTCAGAGGGTCAGTGTTGAGGGTGTGCCACACTGTCAGAGGGTCAGTGCTGAGGGAGTGCCGCACTTTGGAGGGTCAGTACTGAGGGAGTGCCGCACTGTCAGAGGGTCAGTACCGA